TCCTCTCCCCCCTCTTTAAATCCATCCCTCTCTCCTTCCTCTGCTCTGCGTGAAACAGCCCTCGTCAAGGTCTCTGTTTTCTCTTCCTGCTTCTCCTCCTCCTAGGAATGGCCCTTCCACTGCTCCCCTGTTCCATTTCTTCCCCTGTCCTGTCCTTGCTGTTTTCCTGGGGAGGGGGGCGCCTGCACTTTGTTATTCTAAGAACCTTCTCCATGTTAAATGCCTCTAGTTACTCTTACGTCCCCTGAGGATTCTTCACGTGAACAGCCTGCAGGTTACCCGTGTGTCCTTACTATGCTCTCATTTCCTGATCTTACACAACCTGCTTTTCATTATAACTCTACCTGAACACCACTCACCAAGTTTAATTGGAAGTCTGAGCAGCTTTTAACATTTGATTACTAATTTCCACCTTGAAAGTCTCTTCCGTTTGGCTCCGTAACATACTGGTCTCTTTAGTCATCTCATCTGTCTGTGGCTCTATGACCCCTCTGCCCCCTCAGTGTAGGAGTACTTCAGGTTTGTCCCTTGGCATCTGTTAATGCCAGTCTTTCCCTTAGAGATCTAAGTCCCCGTTCCTGTCACTCCATGAGGACAGGTCTTTACTGACCTCACTTGAACTCTAGACCTTGTCTAGACCACGCCAGTCTGCTGGTGACTTCCTGACAGACAGTCTGCTGGTGACTTCCTGACAGACAGTCTGCTGGTGACTACCTGCGTTCTGTGTTCATCGCAATAGGACTCGTTGCTCCTTCCACGCCCCATTTCCAAAATTCCGTTTCCCCGTTTGCCTAGGTGCAAACCTTTGCATTATCTTCAACTATTCATCTGAAACCCACATTGAAATAACTGCGAAATACTAGAATTTCCTATCTGCAATACTTCTGACATTCACCTCTCTCCATTTTTACTAAAAGCTCAGAGCTACAGCCCTGGTTTTCTCTTCTAATTTGACCTCCGGACTCTGCCGCTTTAACTGGCCATTTCCCCACCCATGACTACACTGTAACTCAGTGGCCCGCCTGGCAGGGCTTTAGAATCACGGTTGTTTGTAAGACAAAGACCAAGGCCCATGCCCAGAGGTTTGGTCTTCCCCTCTGGGGGTGTCTGTGTCTACTTTTGCTTTTTATCTTTTCTCCTCTCATGATTTTAATCTTTAGGCTCAGAGCCACTATTAGCCAAACTCAACATGCACCTAGTTTTCTTGCATCAGACTTAGTAGTTTTTATCTGCATCTCTGCTTAGGGCACTTATTTTCTGTGGTGGACTACATCATGCTCTAAAACATTTGCTCAGCTTTATTGCTTATAAATTAACCTGAAACTTTCATTCAACCCCCAAACCCCTCAGCCAACCTCTCCTTCCTTCCTTCCTTCCTTCCTGTCATTTGCCATGGGTGCATATGCAACAGATAAACTAAGTTTATTTTGCATCTAAGTCATGACCTTAAGTAACATCTCTAAACATGCATTTCTTTTTTTTTTTTTTTTTTTTGTCTTTTTCGTTTTTATCGGTACCGGGGATCGAACTCACGACTGCCTGCTTGCAAGGCAGGTGCTTATGCCGCTGAGCTAAATCCCCAGCCCCTAAACATGCATTTCTCAATCCTAAACGACTAAATTAGATGGCCTTTAAATTTCTTTCTATATGAAAATTATAGATCTCTGATCTTTTTATCAAAATAAGTTCTTGGACTACTGGTGAATGATGCTTCCAGTACACTTTACCTAAACACCGAATTCAAAACAGTACTAAGTCCTGACAGCTTTTGCAGTTAGAATTACTATGGTGTCACTTGACAGGTGACATCAAACTTTTAATAATGGAAGAATACTTAATGCAACTTTTTAATCAGTATAATCCTAATGCCAGAAGAATGATTAAAAATAACTGTCATGAGTTCTTAAATCTACACACCAAGTTACTATTACCTTACACAAAGTGGTTAGTTGGTGCTATTACTACCTTATAAACCTTGGTGGAGGGTATACTTGCCTTTCCAACAAAGTTGTTAATTTTAATGTTAATGTATGAAAAAGAATAGCAATGAAGTCATTTGCAACTTATTCCTGATACCAAAATGCAAACAATACATGTAGGATAACATTACATTTCTTAAATTACAAACACATTAATTATGAAGCAAAGACTTTCTGATAAAGGGGATGGTCAAGGTTAACATGCAGCATAAAGGCACTAACCTGGCCCATAAAAAAAGCAAATCCTGTATCAGATGAAAGGGTTCTGGCTCTAACCTAGCTATCGTGCAGTTTATCTTCTCTGGCCTTGCCTTTTTTTTTTTCTACATTCTCAAAATGAAAATATTAAGCTAAACAAATGAGTTCCAAAATGACCTGATAAAATCACCCAAGAAGTTTAAAATACAGAATGCCAGGCCCTTCCCCGGAGATCTTTTTGATAGTGCTATGACACAGACTTCTGTATTTAAAAAGTTTAACTAGTGACCTATTTATTTTCACACATTTGAGAAACAGTAAAGTAACTCTGAAATCTATTTCTAGCTCTAAAATTCTGTTGTGTATAGAATAAAACACATAGCAGGTTTTCAAGTATAGTAAAATAGCTTGGTAACAGAATGTAAAAACCAGTAACTGTCAGGGAAGTACAGGCTATTTTATTTACTCAGTAAAATAGAAAAAGTAGGCTTCTAATTTTAGTATATATGTTGCCAAACCATGCACAAAAGCAAGCTCCCAAGTATCAACTGGCCAAAAGAATTGTTTTGCTTTCAAGATGTTTAAAAATAAACTGTTGAAACTGAAAATGTATGGTGGGAGGATGACTAGAGTATAGGATGTTAGCCCAGTGGTATGCCTGCCTGACAAGCATGAGGCCATGAGTTCAATCCCCGGTACCTAAATAAGTAAAAATAAAGTAAAATAAAAATTATATCAATCCTCTGGGAATTAGTCTGTCAATTTGGATTTAATGTCAATTTCAGGGTAAAAACTACTTAGTTTTAGTTCATTACCTTTCACTTTAACAACCAGTTTTTTTGTTTGGTTGGTTTTGTTAAGCAAAAACTGGAATGTTCTATGGTTTAGATTCTGAAAATCATATAATAACACTAAATAGAGTGTTTAAATAATCATTAAAGATTCATCTTAGACCTTCACAAAAAGAAACATCCACTTTGTCAGATTCCATTTCCTGGCTATGTCACATTTTATAACAGGAAGCTACTCAATTATAGAAATCCTGTATTGGTTTTATCCACAATTAGATTATCTAAATAAGTAAGACTTCTTTGAAATATAAAAACTGGCAGTAAGAAACCATTTAACAAAAAAATCCATTCTGTCAGGCTGTACTCGTTGGGAAAAAGGAACAAGTGTGTGGAATAAAAGGTTTGCCCATCTATTTGGGGTGTCGGTTCTCATTTAGCAGTACTGTATTAAACCCATGACAGTGGTATTGTAAGAAAGCTCAGCTCCTTCAAAAGCCTTAGCTAACACTCTGAATGGTGATCTGTGTTAGGTTCAAAAGCCCAGGACTCATAAGCACTTAGGACACACCCTAATATTTATCATCCCCCAGATTTAAACCAGCAGAGGGGAGGAAGTTTTGAATCAAGAGTTTATGCTTTGTTAGCTGACGAGCCTCTTAGAAATGTGAACCTCTAACCCATTGTTACTTCCAAGCGCAGTTCTGATACTATGCCAGGGTACATACAGAGCCCTAAAAGCAGCAGACCACCATGTTAACATGATTTTAATGAATTCTCCATATAGCCAGGAGTTTAAATTCTACAGCATACCTCATTCTCACAAAAGTTATAAATTTCTTTCAATAAAAGCTACTGCTTCTTAGTCTGGTTATTATAGCTACAGACAGCTCTCCCACCGACTGCTAATTATACTAAGTATCTGAAAAATAATAGGAAAAACCACACAGTATTTTGAGGGAGCCTATGTTTATATAATTCACTAACGAGCCATATCTCAAGAAAATACTGTAGATATTAAGAGATCAGTAATAACATCACATGAGTATGAGAGAAAACATGCAAGTTCACATTTTAAAACACCAGAGGTCATGAAGTTGCCTTTAAAAGCAAACATTCAAAAGAAAATCTACTTTCAGGACAGAGAAAATATCAACTGTCATGCTGCCCATTAATAGGTTTAATGGCTTGACAAAGCAAGCATTATTATAAGTTTTAGCCAATTACATCCTGCCTGTATAAAGCAGGGGCAAAGCCTATTTGTAAAGAACAAATACTTCTAAATTAGTAATCAGACCATCAGAGAGCAATGACCAAAACAAAAAGCTGCATAAAAGTTTTGATCAACTGGGTTCAAATTATGTCAACCTCTTATTTTCAAATGTAAATAATTATTCTCACATGCAGGTAACTACTGACAATATCATTTAGCCACAGGGAACTGGCAGGGCTAACTCAGAGGACTCACCTGATCAAAAATTTTATCAGATTCAACTATCCCAGCTATGGAGTGCTTGACTAAAAAGTACAGTATCAGAATACTTGATCTACGTGAAGTCTTGGACCCAGATTTTTTTACTCTACCAGACACAAAGAAGTGTAACTTGATCAGATCACATTGAGTACTTACTAAAGGAAACTAAAAGGAAGCGCTAGGATGTTTTAAAAAAACATCTGCCAGTGTGAACTACTCTTTAGGTCCACTCCAACTTCCAAAACGTTTATTTAGAATGACAATACCAGATGTTCCTAGGATGTGCACAAAATTAAATTATTTTTAAGTTTTGCAGATTAACATTAATTTCTAATTAATCCAAGACAGTTAACATAAACATTTTCCACTTGGGCAGTTGATGAAATAATTTGGATTTCAAAACTTTAATATACTTTTCAGGAAATACCCATCTGATAATTTAGATCGCTGGTATATATGTTTAACATGTGAAGGGAAAGAATTAAAATGGGTAAGCATGAAAAAACTTCAAAGCAAACAATAAAATCACCTTACTAGTACAGGTAAATGAAGAAATCAGGAGACAGTTTCATTAATTAATATATTTTCTGCATTATAGTTAACATACGTACTTTCTTCGTGGCACCTTATTTTCCGTTAAGTATTGATATTTTGTTATATTCAGACATGAGTACATTTCAACAGTCTTTTGCAATAAATATCATAAAATAATAGAGATTCGCATAATAAATATTCTTTACAATAAAAAAGTTTAACAGACTTTTGTCTTAAAAATAGTCAGAATTCAACTTTGTGATTTATACATAAAATATACAAAAAGCACCACAATTTGTGGTTTAAGGCAATGAAAACACAGAAGATTAGCATTGCTCAGCTGTGAACTAACCGAGGGGCCAAAAGGACCATTAAGGAGCCAAGATCACTTTAGGCAGCATAGTTCTGTGACACCTACAGATTGATTAGCTATAAATTTCAACTTCAGTTATCCAAGTGCCCTCAATGACAACAAAAATTTGGTGATGAGCGTAGGGTATGGAAGGGAGTTGAGTCGTTCATGAATATGAAAGCTAGATTAGGAATGAACAAGTTACAAGCAACGTATCTCCAATGTGAAGACTTACATCATAAAGCGAGATCTAAAATTACACAGGAGGCAAGGGGAGGGGGCAACAGCTGGCATCTCAGAAGGTCATGCCAAAACCAAGAGAGACCTCTGCAGAACTAAAAAAGGAGGGCAGTGGTTAAAGGAAATTTTTTACGTTATAACAAAAATACATCCTCTCATTCTATTTACTGGTCCAATGCTAGGAAGACAGCTCTAACTGGAGATAGATTTAATACACAGCTTATTTAAGCAATTAAACGGTTGCTTCTTTGAAAACCAATTTTCCTGCTCCCACAGTATCCAATCACAAACAGCTCTAAATCCTCTAGTCTGAGTGGGTGTCTTATGTTCATGTACACAACTTTGGAAAGTTGCCTGCAGAACAAAGAGGCCACACAAAAGCCCACTGACTCTCAAAACTCTCAAATGGATGGCAAAAGCTCTCATCACAAGTGGGACGCAGGTGCAGTTTCATAGTCCGCTCTCACTGAAGATCGTCCAGAAGAGAAGAGTAAAATCCGGAAGTCAAACCTTGGGAACAGGGGAAGAAAGGCAGGAAACAGGGAAAAACTCTAAGGAAAAGAAAATCAGTATCTAATAGTATAGTTTCTAACAGCCCCAACTGGAAAGCTAGAAGTTCAGGAGGTCCAACCCACCTCCAAAAATCATGATGGTTTCCCCTGGCCCCGGGAAGGGCAGCTCTCCAGCTTACAATAGACAGTGTTGGAGTTCTTGCATCTGCACCCTGGGCGATGAATCCAGTCATAACATCCCCTGCATAGCTTCAGGCATCCCTTAGCAGGAGGGTAACAGAGTAAGCAAGGTAAAAACAGAGACATTGCTCCCATACACAGGTATCTAGAGCAGCAGTGGGACTGGGAACAGGAGCAAGGATTATCCGAGTAAGAGTCCCCTTCATCGTCGTTGGAGCAGTGATAGAAGATGCCCTTGACTAAGCACATGCAGGTCCCGTACTCCACCATGCTCTCAGCAGAGCACAGGCATTGCCGGTTACAGGCCAAACAGGACGGCAGGGTTCTGGGAGCTGTGCACTCACCACATTTGCACTTCCCACACTGTTCACAAATGAACTTGTGCTGTGTCAGGTCCTCTTTCAAGGAACCCTTCAAGTCATCCACAAGCAGCTGTTTGGGCTGGGTCCGGATGGCCCTTTCAGACCTATAACCAGGAACTGGTCTGGCTGGTGGTGACCTTCCTAACAGCCCCTGCTCAGAAGAGGCACTGCTGTTGCTCCCAGAACTGGCTGCACTTCCAGTGCTGGTTGATCTGCTCAGAATGGGGGCCCTGGCATTACTTGAGAGTCCCACGTGTCCCAGGTGGCTTGTAGGTCTTTGCTCATAGTTGTTATTCACATTAATTGGAATGATTTCATGAGTCCGTTCATGCTTTTCTTGCCTTGGTGCTGTCCGCGGAGCAGGTCGTTTTACCACTGAAGGTCCTTCTGTGTACTCATTGCTGCCTCTGATGGCCTTGATCTGGTCTAAAGACAAAATAGCAGCAGGCTGAATCTCTCTCTCATAGTCTAATCTCTGCCGGCCATCCAAAGAAGGCTGCTGGATCACGACTAATGAACTGCCACTGCCATGCTGATTTTGGGGATCCATGTGTAGTGATCTGGGATTCTGGCAGTCAGTGGAAATCTGGCATGCATCTGAAATCCTAAAAAAAGAAACCAAAATTGAAAACAACCAAAACAAAACACAGAGAGAGAAAGAGAGAATAAATGACAGGAAGCATTTCAGGGAGGGAGGAAATCCTGTCAAGTCACAAATTGCCTAAACCACCTGGTAATGATCTCCTTCATCAGCGGATTACAATGATGCTGGGGTCCTGGCCAGAGTCCAATTCCGAGAGAGGCTGTGGTCCACATCACACAAGAAGAATGTAAGCAAGAGACCCCGGGCCATAAAAATTAGAAGTTTTTCCAGCTTTTAAAAAGTAGAATCAAGAGGGAAGTAATGTCTTCCTGTTTATGAATCTAACAAAAATGAAAATAAAAAATGCCTTCGTAGGGAATATTGAATACACCCAACTGTTCTCATCTAAAGAAAGCTCACTGTCAGTTCATTAGTCTTTTTCACGAAGGAAAATGTCTAATGTTTTTTAAAACTGGAGACTGGCCTTGGTGCTATAGCTTTGTTATCTGTCTGGTGTTACAAGCTTCAGATTAATGATGAGGAAATTATCCAAGGCATGTTCCAAAAACTAAAAATATTCCTCACTAAAATGGAATCTCAAAATAAGAGGTCATTTTCAGTTGAAATCAGGATTCTAAACTAGCTCATTAATCTGTGAAACACAAAGATGAATGTGTGAGGAACAAAATAGCTCTTTGGTGTCTTACAGGCACTAACACATACAGTTCAATAAACCATTCTGTGCATAACAGAGTATCCGTGAAATGACTTTTAAAGGTTTAAACCTGGATACACTCATATAACAAGATAATTTCCATGCACAAGCATTGGGCCTTCAAAGCAGCGTGGGGAAATTTTGGCTGCTGTAATTATCTCTATTTCCTCTCAACAATCTACTTGGACGACAAGATTCTGATTCTCAAAATCACCGATAACTGAATCAAAGTACTTTTTGTAATAAATAAGCACCCTAACATCCAGACATAAAATAAGCATATTTCTTTTCTAGTAGTAAATTCCTGCCGACTTACAATGTATTATTCATAAAATATTACCACTTACAAAAATGTTCCCATTTAGTCAATAGCAGGTTAGAATATTATTCATACAAATTCCTTCCAAAGTCTACAAATGCAACCCAGTTTAAAACTGAAAAGTCCTGCTACCTTGTACCAAAACAGGATCTTAAGGGATAGAACAGAAAGAAGCCCATTCCTATATAAACTAATGTCTCTAGACCGGCGATTAGATGCGGTTCCCTCCTCCATTCTAGAAATGTATCATAACCTGCTGGGCTGAGCTCCGGAGTCCTTCAGGGACTAAAGACCCTTAAAACATCGACACATTTATGCCTGCATACCCCATCCTTCCTCTTCACCAAATACTTTGCAACTCACTACTTTGAAAGCAACGGGCATTTAAAAAACACCAACTCAGGTTCCACAGAAAGAAAAAGAAAAAACTGGTGGGAAAAACCTGCCGAGTGTAATCAAAACCACCAAGCACAACTTTAATTTCGCATTTCACAAGAGAGCTGTACGGAAGCTCACGCTGGCTGGTAAATTCAAGTGCCAGGCAAAAATACACAGCAAAGAAAATCCGCCACCTCTGATCCGAAGAAAAACTCATCTTCCACCGGGGACAAGTCCTTGATCTGACTCCAAACACGCCCACACGCTCCCGGCACTGGCTTCCCTAAAAACACGCGAACGAGGAGTCGAAGAAGGAATACCTTTCCGGACAGTCCCATCCCGGGGGAAGGTCTCCGCGGCTCCCAACACGCGTTTTCGCGCTGCCCACCCAGGCTCGCGTCAGGTCCTAACGCGCTCTCCCGTTCACGCGGGCGCCAGAAGCAAGCTCACGGCTGGGCTGATTATAAGTCAAATTATTTTAAAAAGAAGTCTATCCTTTAAAGGAAAAAGCTTGATTCATCGAGGGCCGGGAAGAAGAGAGCCGGGGCAGGGGCGGCGGGCGAGTGAGCGCCTCCACATTGCGCGTTAGGACGGGAGCGCGGCGCCCTCTGCAAGCCGCGCGGAGCAGCGGTGAATAAATAGTAGACGGAGAGGAAGGAAAAGGAAAAAGTTATGAATGAAAACAAGTTTTCTCTCTCTCTAGCAGGAGGAGGGCGGAGGCAGGAGGCGGAGGTTACCATTACCTCAGGAGGGCGGACTTCTCCACTTTTAAAGTGGCAGCGCCCTCTCCCCTCCCTCGCCGCGCCTCGCTCCCCAAACCAGAAAGCCGAGGCGCACCGGGGGTCGCGGGCGGATCCCAGGGGGCGCCGCCTCCTCCTGCGCGCGCGCGCGCGCACGCACGCACCCGGGCTCCTGCGCAGGGCGCGCGCGGGGACCCCAGGGACACCCCAACGACTGCGCGGAGCCACCTTTGCGGAGAGGACTCCCTCGACCCCCGGCGCCCAGCTCCAGGCAGGCGCGGCTGCAGACCCCGGACGCTCGGCCGGACGCCTCCCCACCCCTCTCCTCCCCTCCCCCCTTGGCGCCCGCACCTGCCGCGCGCAGCCAGCCCGCCGCGCCGCGCACTCACCTAGGCCCGAGCGGAAGCGGGGGGCCCAGCCAGGCGACCCGGCCCACGTCCCGGTGCGGGCGGCCGTGTATCCGCGCCGCATCAACCGCGGCGGGAAGGAGGTGGAGGCATCACCCGAGCGGCGGCGAGTCGGCCCGCGGCCCCTTTCCGGCTGCGGAGGGCAGATCTCCCGCGGCCCCGCGCCGCTCAGGAACATCCACCTGGGGGCTCCCCGCCCGCGGCCCCCGCAGAGCTGCAGTCACAACCGCGCGACCCCTCCAAAAGGGCTCGCCGCCTCCCTCCGTGGAGCGCGCGCCGGGGCGGCACGATGGGCTCGGACGGGGACTCCGCGGGCTCCAGTCGCTCCTCTCGGGGAGGGAAAGAGGGGGTGGCGGCTTCCCAAAGACTGAAAATCCACGTCACGGGCGTTCGAGACTCCGCGGCGCCCGGGGCTGGGCTCGAACCGGCGTCGAAGGGCTGGTCCCGGGGCCGCGCAGGCCTCGGCGGGACCCTGGCGCACGCGCGCGCGAGGCGCGGGCCGCGCGGCCGGGTGGGGGAGGGGGTGTGGGAGCGAGGTTTGGGGATCCTTCTCGGAGAGGGGCGGGCGGGCGTCGTCCCAGGTCCCCGCGCAGGCCGGGCGCTTCCAGACCGCGCGCGCTGGGCACGCGGGACGCGGCGATCCCGGGGTCTCCGGTCCTGCAGGTCCGCCTCTCCCGGGCAGCGCGCACTCCTAGCGCTCAGACCCTGCGGTTCCGCGGCCGAGGCGCCTGCTACGGACGATCAGAGAGACATAAGAACACATGATATTTCCTTTCTCTCGGGCGCTGGACGCGCCGCGCGCCCCGCCGCCCGCAGACCGTGGAGCCCGCAGCCGCTGCCATGTGCTGCCTGTTGCTCCCCCTGATGATTGACAGGCCGCGCACAGTCGGCGTGTCAGCGGCGAACCCAAGTAACATGCAGTCCTGCACGTTTTTGCCCAAGTTCTTTGGTTCCCTGGAATGCCGAGGAGCTCAACATCTAAGCAGCGCCTCTGAGCATTGAAAATCAATACGCACAGACAAGAAATTCAGGTTTTAAACCATTACTTTGCGACGGGTTCGGTCGCCAACAATGCCTAAACAAACGCGCATTTGGTACACTAGCCGAGAGCCAGCCCTTCTACGGCGTAAAGGGCCCTGTGTTTCACACATCCGATCCTTTACAGAGTTTTTCAAACTTGTTACTGTTCGGATAAGGGACAAAAGTGAAAGGGACCCTGCTTTTTTTTTTTTTTTTCTTTCTTTCTTTCTATTTTTCCCCCCCAAGCGGTAGAATTTAGGAGCATCTAGCCATGGGAATGCTTCTGGTGTTTTGAAATGCAACCAGTAACCTCACTCTGCTCTAGAGCGAGTTCAAAGAAATGTTCGGTTCCGTGCAAAACCAAACATTTCTCACTTTATCTCTCCTAAAATATCTACGCAAGGGAAGGAAGGAAACGGTTCTTACCTAATGCAAAGATTGGAAATTGCTTTTCAGGCACATGTACAGCCACTGCAGCTGCTCCTTATCCAGGGCATGGAGCTCTGTCTGCCGCTATCACTCTGCAAACCACTGCGTGCTTTACAGAGCGATCCCACTCCAGTTCCGCAGAATTTCAGCTCCTCGCCGCCACCTCCACCTCCACTGCAGGACACGCCTCCAGTGATATCATGTGTCAATCACACGGGCCGCCAGAAAACCTGGAACAGGATTTCCTCAGCTGGCCTTTGCTTTTTCGTTTACATGTACCAACTTGGAAACGTTACCCTGTATACAGCCTCTAAAAATTAGGGATTGCTTGTGAAAATCCTGCAAACTGCAATTTGTCATGTAAAACACAGTCGAATTTAGTTATCAATTTTCGATCTAAAGAAATTGGTGGCCTTCAACCTTGAATTAGAAAAGAATTCTGAAAAACAGAAGATGAAAAAACTATGCTAAATCATCACTTCTGGTCAATTAGAGGGAAAGCGTGTATTGATCATTTAAAACTTGGAACATTAAAGTTATCTAAAACAAGCTTCAGAATATGTGAGTTCTAAAATATTCAAAAGTGACACGCCTTTTTGCAGATGTAACAACGATATAATATAGCATAAAGGTGAAATTGCCTGCTCAGTTTTTAGATAATGGCTCTATCTTGGATTGTAATATAATTTCTCAATTATCAATTACATGAAAAAAATTGTTATATAGTTGTAATAATTTTTAAAAGCAAAAATTTTTTTAAAGCTAAAAAGCAGAAATAATTTACTAAGAAGTTTTATAATTCTTGATATGATGTATCACTGAATAAAAAACCTAGTAAATAGAAACTTGCTTTCTTTTAGAAACTATAAGGTTTTTGACATATAATACCAAAGTCATACTGTTTATGCTGCACTAAAGATAGTTGTATGTGAAATGTAGGGTTCCATAGAGACTTTTAAGAGATACTTAAAAATTAAAAGCATATAGTTAGTAGAAAGGAAATGTTTTTCCCCAGTACTGCACATCAGGAACAGTATACACTCTTAGGCAAAAAAGAGAGAAAAAAATAGACTCTAAATCATATATATATTTGAGTATGGAAATTTTTAGTTCAAAGTAATTTTTTTTAAAAAGTCTTTACAATAGCAAGTCATCCTGTACGTTTTTATGCCCCATACTAGACTTTCAGATGCTTGAACACTTTTAAAAATTTGTGTTCGAAATTGCTTCTGAGAAATCCAGGGAACCACTAAGAACATCAAGAAGAAGAAAGCATCACCAGAAAGTGCTGAAGAAAAAAATACCAAGAAACTCCATATTCACCCTCAATAGAAAAGATATTAAAAGAGTCTACTTTAAAATATAACATTGACGTGTAACATTGAATTTATGATATTATAAATTGCATTAAAATTATTTTAAAACAAAATTCACATTTTTTTTCATAGGTCTCATTGGATTTGGAGATACGAAATTTTACCAATGATGAGTAGGTTTTTTGTGAATGGATTTGGAATACTCAAATCAGAGATAGAACATCACATCAGAGCGTCCTCTTTGGTTCTTCCAATTGCTTTCTCAGCAGTCATCACAATTTTAGGATGAGAGGTCAGTTCACCAATATGATAAAACCAGGAGAGGGAGCACTGAACATTCTTATTCCATAAATCTCATAAAGCTTTCTGTTGTAAATAAACCTCAATGTACTGTATTTCAATCAAACGTATTAAAATAATTTGTGATGTTATTTTAAAATTACAGCAAAATCCGTAAGATTTTATCTAAAACGCTACCATCATAAGCCATGTTTATTTAGAAATAAAGTATTATGGCATCGAAAGGATTGATGAAACTTGATAACTTTTTGTGCTAAAATGCATTAATGTCTTCCTCTAAATATTACAATTACAAGTAAATGTAACGAAACCTACATCTCCTTTTGATTGCCCACAACTCTAAAACTTTGTAAGAATTCTAAGATTTTAGCTGAAAATAGACATTATTCTTTATTCAGTAATTTTAATTACAGATACCTTGGCTAGAAGTGGTAACTGATGTATGAGACTTTTCTGAAAAGAGAAACAATGTAAGTAACGATGGGGAAACCTTATAAAAATTTCTAATTTACTATGGTAAGATGTGTTTGAAATAATTGAATGGAAAATGAACCCTAACTTGCTTTTCTTTTTCATATGTTAATGAGATTAGCTATCCCTTCTGCTAATATGATTTTTGAAAAGAATAAAATGAGAGAAAAAATCTGGTTAATCCTCATGACTGATTGTGATAAAAATTAAACAGTAGAGTACTAAAAGACTCATCTTTACTCATTTATTTATTAATTTGCCAAAATACAAACAATAGAACCATAATGTGTTCCAAGCCTTTGAAAAATAATAGTTTATTAATTCTCCCCATTTTTTGTGGTCATGATAAATTATTAACATTATTATTCAGTTATAACCCTTTATCTTATTGAGAAAGAAACAAAATAATCGCAGCAGTTGATGAGTTAGTATATAAGAATCTAATAAATCAATGAAGAACTAGTAATGGGAACTAAGGTTTCTTTACTTTCCTTTTAGGGCAATA